GCTACTTTATAATTTGCATCGCACTGAATCAGATATAATAGATTGTTATTTGAATCACTGCTGTATTATTATAATAAGAAGAGGTAATGTATTATAACATCGTTATAATAAAATGGCGACATAGAGTGAGAACTCAAGTCGAGGGTATTTTGACTCTATCATTCTATTCTCATTTAAGCCATGTCAGTTTACTACTATTAATAACCCTTATTTACCTGTAGTCCCAGCCACTTGGGAGGCTCAGACAAGAGGATCACTTGATCCCAAGAGTTTGAGGTTGCTGTGAGCTATGATGCCACAGTCCTCAACCCCAAGGCAACTGAGTGAGATTCAAAAAAAAAAAAAATCCTACTTTACATTTGAGGAAAATGAAGTGCAGTAGACCATGTGACTTGACTGTAACCAAAGGGCTCTTAGCGATAAAGCCAGACATTAGTTTACCAGTTCTTAATCTCAGTTCCCAGTTTTTAATCTCTGTATGTTATTTATTTCTGTGTGCCAAATTATTTTACCTGTCTTTCCAGATAATTATTAAGTTTGGTGACTAAAACAAATTTTTGGCTTGATAGTGTCAATCAAACTAACTTTAATTTGTATTTATATATACACATAAGTAACTAAATATAAATTTGCATGAAGATTCCAAATACTTAGTATGTAGTTGGCATATAGTATCTAAATGGTGCCTATGCCATGTATACCACATGAATACAGATAAACATTTTTAGCTTTTATTGAGCTTAAAATATAATTTCACTTGTGAAATAAAAAAGCTTCAACATTGACATTTCTTAATGCCATCTCAGAAAGTATGTTTGCCAATGACAAAGTTTGAGAAATATTTGATATGAGTAATACAGTGTCTTTCATCAGCCCATCTCCAATGTCTTACTATCCTGCTATGATGACCTTTACTCAATGATGTTTAACACTCCATTATAAATGAGGTGAGGGAAATGTATCACTATGAAAAAAGGGACAAGGTAAAACCCAATCAGTCATTCTTCCTTTCTGTCTTACCATCACTTAAATCCAGTGACTGAAATAAACTGATATGTCTCCCTAGATCTCTGTTGTATAAATGACATTCCGCCCTTGTTATAGCTTGCTCAGCCTCCTGATCCTGTCCTAGTCCCCAACCCTCACCTCAGAGAGCCTCTCAAATCCCTTCTTTTGTTTGGACCATTTGGTTTTGCCCTCACTTTAACTCTGCTTAGCAATGCACAGATTCAGCAGTTAGATGAACCTATCACCTTTGGAAAACAGCTGAGTCATCACTTTCTATTACATAAACTCATCATGTAGAACTCTCTTCACACTACAGAAATGACCATAGTAATCTAATAAAAGCCAGATCTGGGCAGGAAGATGGGTTAGCCTTTTGAAAATAATAAGATTTTCTTCATATTGCTACTCATTCATTCCTCAGTATATGAAATAGTGTCTGAATACCTATTTTGTGCAAAGTACTAAGTTTAGAACTTAGGGATAGAAACAAATTTTTTTTAAAAATTGTCCCTTAAGGAGCTTATCATCGTGCATTGTAGAAAATATGAAAATAATTAGCTATAAACATTTTGAATGAAATTAGGACAAGCAAACTTTATTGCAGCACTAAGTTAGCTCAGTCAATTCTGATTAGGTATCACTCGGGAGTTAATATTTGAATTAATCTTTGCAGAAAAAGAAATAATAGGTGGTGAGGAGTGCCTAAGAGAAAGTAAAAGTATTCAAGGATAAAGGAATAATATACAAAGGCACAGAAGTGGAAAATAACTTTCCATGTGCATGCAACAGCAAATCTTAGACATGTCTGGAATCCAAGATGACTCCAGATAACTGAAATATATTGGTTCCTACAAAAGTGTTGAGATACCCAGAAATCAAGAAATGTGAAATCCGTACAGATGGAAATAAATGAAGCCCTGCCGGCAACACGGTTAAGCCAAGCAAGTTGAAACTTTCACATGTGGATCAGAAAAGACACTGTCAACTATGTTTCTTGGAGTGAAATAAAGGACTATTACACAGTCTGTCTCAAAACTTTCATAGCGACCTACATATCTGGCTCAAAAGTTAACAAAATCATGGAACTTCATGAACCATAAATTAAACACTGTACTTCCCTGTGTAAAATGTGCATTTCTGCCCACATATTTAAGGGAAACATAAGGATTTATATTATACATTAGTAGTACTATTTCGGTGTCTTTGTAAATATTTTTAATTCTTTTATTTATCCTTATGTGTTAAAAGTCTAACTCAAGGGCAGTGCCTGTGGCTCAAAAGAGTAGGGCACCGGCCCCATATGCTGGAGGTGGTGGGTTCAAACTCAGCCCTGGCCAAAAAAAAAAAGGAAGTCTAACTCAAGAAAGCAATGATGACATCTATATGCAAAATAATCTCTGGAGTATGGTAATTGCAACCTCCCATGCAATGTTACCCCCCAATACAATGCTACCCTCTCCCCGGGCAGGCATCACAGCTGCAGAAACCTCCAGCCCATCCTGCCCAACACAGGCACACGGCCACCACTGCTATTTTGGAAGGAGGCACGCAGCTGACAACTGTGCAACAGTTAGTGTGAGTACTCCAGCAAAAGGAGGGCAGAAGTAGCCGGGCAGTTGGCATCTCCTCCTTCCCTGAGTGGCTTGAGGCATGCAGCTGGCCTCTTTGGAGTAGCAGGGAGTGAGCAAGTGAGAGTGATCCCAAGGATTAGGGTCCTGACCTCCCCCAACTGTCTCCTTGCAGCCCACCCTCATCTCCACTTTTTCTCATTCTCATTTCCTAATTCCACCATGTTTGTTGATGTGAATGGGTCCATGGCCACTCTGCTGAGAACCCTGGTGACTTATATCCTAGAAAGCTAATGTGAGGGACAAAGACCAGCCCTGCTTGCTCCCGGCTCCTGATGGGCAATCCCCACTGTTTCTGGGCTGCCTCATCTCTAGTGCAGGTGGCCCCATTTTGAAGGCCCCTGGATACCATGCTGAAGAGAAAGATCCATGAGCTTGAGTAGGAGAGACCTGGGTTCTTAGACCTAGTTCCACTAGTAGCCTGCTGTTGTGACTTTGTGACTCCATCCCCATGAAGTTTCTATTTGGTAGGGTACCTGGAAGTGAAACATGAAAGCTCAGGGGTACTTGAGCCCATAGACTGTAATTTTGAGTCTCCAACTTGAGTTGGTATAATTTCCCAAACTTGACAGTAGGAAGAACCATCTAGGATGTGTGTGAATGGTCTTTCTCCTGGAGAGTTGATTCAGGGCACTGATGTGTATTTGAGTATGGTTCAGGAGTCTTATTAACCAGGTGATTTGTAGGATTACAAGTTGCGAAGGGCTGGTGTTCATTCTGATTTTACTGAGTGATCAAGGTCTGGACAACTCTAGTGGTCTTGGACTCTAGTCATTAAACAGAAATGTAAGTGCAGAGTATTTCACAGTGGTTTCATCAGAGAAGGTTTTCTCTGCCGCATGGTGTCCCGAGGACCTCAAAATGGGGCCATGTGCACTAAAGATAAGACAGTCCAGAAAGGAATTGACCTTCTGGAACCAGCAGATTCCAGGGTTCTCAGTGGAGCAGCCATGGACACAGTCACACCTGCAGAGATGGGTGAAAATAAGAAATAAGAGGATGTGGGGATGAGGGTGGCCAGGGGGTGATGGCAGGAGGAGGTTGAGCATTCATGTTATCTGGACCATTCTCACCTACCACCTGGGCTTGCTCCCAGCTTCTCTGCAGGGGCCAGCTCTCTCGCACGAGGAGGTGGCATCACTGAGAGGCCATTCCTGCCCTCCTTTAAAAAATTAAAATGAAGGACATATTCCTGATACTTTAATGTATGCCCAAAACATCAGTGCACTTATACACAGGAGCACATTATACATGGCGAAACATGGGGTTTTGGAACTCACCGTATAAAGGATGGGAGCAACTGGAAGGATGGGAAGCGTGTATTAGGAGGGAAATTACGTGATATCTTCTTATTCTACTTTTTAAAAATTCACACCTGTGTTTCTTTCCTTTTTTGCATTAGCCTCCCACCACAGGCTTCCTATCTCCTACACTTTTGTTTGATTAAGTCCATAATATAGCTGGAATGGCATCTTCTTCAAGGCATTATGCCTCTTCTGTGAAGCTTTGCAGGATCTTTTATCCAAGACATGTTTGTATCCTCCTCCCCTCTTCCTTCCTTGTCTTACCACTGCATATCTTTTGGTGATTCCTGTGTGATAACTATCTCTTGTTTTTAAATCTATCACCCTCACTTGAATTCCAAGAGAATTTATCATTTTTTTCAATCTATCATTGACTATATTCTCAGTATATTTCCAGCAATGTTGCCTTCTAGGTGTTCAATAAATTTTAGCTTACTGAGTCATCAGAACTGTACCTTGATAAGAAAAGTTGTTATCGTTGGGATAAATAGATAACAGAACAAAATTAGGAATATTAGCTGCATGGCCACTGTAGTGAGAGATTATGATAGGATAAAATAAGGAGGTGTGAACAGATACGTGAAAAAGAGTCCCTGAGGAGAGGAAACTGATTAGATGGGACAGAGGCATAAAGACTGATTGGAAGATGGCCCCACACAACTTGGAGAAAGGTTGTACATTATCTTACATGGAGATGATTTTGTTTAAGGAAACTGTGAGTCCTCTTTGAATGGGTTTTATTTTCCATGTATATTAGCACTTCTAATGATTTTGACATCAAGAAAGCAATCATTCTGTGGACTACCATTTCTCTTGTCTTGAAACCTAATAATTATTCTTAATTATTTGAGCTCTAATGTTATAGAAGTCCATAATAGTAAGGGAAAAAAAGACAACAGTGAGAGAAATGTATACTTAATCCTATTGCTTAAAAAGAAGCAATAGCTAACGTTTCCTACTAATCTTATAATTTGGGTGTGTCAGAGTTCAAGTTCTATTTGAATTGTACTCAGCTGATTCAAGATTAATTGTGTTTTATTTCTCTCTTGCTTCTCTACAGTATGCTGTCTGGCTAGTCCTCTGGGTTACGTGGAATGTGTTTGTTATCTGCTTCTATTTGGAGGCTGGAGACCTCTCAAAGGTAATTTACCATCTGATTTGCCTTCATCATTAGTAATGTGTTAACAAGTCTCTTCCTAAGTCAGGCAGAGTCTTACCCTGTTCTTGTCTCTTAAGAGCAGTTTACACAAAGGTAAATTGAAATGTGTACTGATTTGTATCTTGGGATGTCCATCATTAAAGATACGTTTGATGTGTCCCAAAATGTGCTTTTATTTTTTTAAACAAAATGAGTATGAAATATTGATTGTCATGACGACAAGGCAATGCACTTTTAAAAGGGCATTGTCCTATGAGAGATTTCCAAAGAACATGGAAATTTTCAGAGGAAACAAAAAATCTTGAAGATTTTTCAAATCCCTTTGTTTTCTTATTGCTCTGCTAAACAATTCCATGATTGAATGCAAATATTAATATCATAACTTAAATCAAACAATTTATGGGTTTTATTTGAACAAAATTGTTACCAGAACAATATAGCTTATTACAAAATGAATCACATAAGCAACAGTCTGAATCACATAAGCAACTGTTATTCTACAACAGTCTAGGAAAGACTTTAAATACTTCCTTTTTTGTCTAAGTTTTTTGATTCTTTGTGTGTGTGTGTTTATTGTATTTGAACCTGAATGCTTTGCTATTGAAATAGTATAGCTTTTAGGTCTCTGGAAACATCATCCTTCCTCTACTGGAATACAATTAACAGCCAATAACTCAAATGAGGTAATTCATTCAAGGGTAATAGTAAATCTTGACTCTTGAGAGAGTTTCAAACTTACATATACTTCCTCATATTACCTTTAAAAAGAGAGAGACTGTAAAACCTTTTTTTACTTACCCCTTATTACAGCAGAAGGAACCTGCCAAGATGCTGACATTTTTAAAACCCAGAGATGCTCACATGCTAAAAAATTCCCTAGGAACTGCCTTTGCCGTGCTATGTATTTGGGGGGAAGGGGAAGCTGGAGTGGTGGTACCAAGCGCTGTGAGCATGGTTTGTGATATTCATTTATTATTGAAGCGTGATATATGGCTTTCTGTCAAGGAGAAATCATCTTGATTTGTTTTTGTTCAATAATAGAAGATGAAGGATAAAGGTGACATTATGGTGTGAGAGGGAACCAAGGCTCCCAGGATGTGTGAATTATGAACAGATTTGGGGCAAGCCCTCACCATGACCTGCAAACCTGCCCTGGTGGATGGCTGTTTCTGTTTCTTGCAGGCGTGATCCCTCACGCTCCTGGGAGCAGGCAGTCTTTTTCAGGAAGGCGCCGTGACCAATGCAAAGAAATTGTTCAGCACTTCTAGGAGGGACACAGACAGGATTGCTGCTTAAAACTCACATTTGCCTCTGTGTGAGAAAAGCAGATAGCTTTCCCAAGACTTGGATTCCTTACCCAATTTCTACATTTCTGCTACTCTATAATCCACTTTCTTCAAAGAACTTCCATGCTAGAGTGATTTTTCGTGATATTTTCAATTTTAAATAATCACCTTAAAAATTGTAAGGCAGGTGTTTAGGCATATTGGCTGAGTAAAATGATCCAGCATATCAGAGAATTTGTTTAATATTTGAAAAAAGAGAGAGAGAAAGATTTAAGCAAAGCTGGCTGCAATACTGTCCTGTAATTGTGCTCACAGCTCCCCATGGTGACAGCAGGAGCAGAGTAAAGCTTGCGATCTCGTGACCTCAGGGACAGGCATTGAAACCACAGCAAGGGCAATAAGAACTCTGGGAGATAATGACTATACCTTGGCAATGAAGCAGTTAATAATATCTTCTTTTCTTCTCATCTTATAAGCCAAGATTAGGCTCTCCAGATCACATGAAGATTTAATAATTTCCTTGTAACAAATAATCTAAAGGAAAACTATAAAGGGCAAAGTTATCTAGCTCTCTTTACTGGCTTCATCCTCCTTTTCTTGCTCTCAGGGTTGGAGAAAAGTCTATCTGCCCATTTAATTCTCTAGTCATAGCAACTGCCTCACATTCTTTAAGTAATACAATGCCAGAGGAAGCAAGTGCGATAGAAAAAATGCGCAGATAAAAACTCAACAGTGGGACTCCTTGAAGCTTCTAATACTTAAATTATAGAACATAAACCATTGTTTTCATCAATCTACCAAAAAATAAATGAAATAATTTGAATGCATCTACCACATGAATGGGTCTGTTAGTTTGAAGCTGAAGAATAATATGGAAAACAGAATCAAGAAAGAAAATGTGTGTGCTTTATCTATGTGAAAGAGATATGTTTTTCTTCCTAAAGTGTTTTGTAAATAGGTAACTGCTATTTACAGGTATTTATAGGTATCAGATTTTTAGATATTGTTGCTCTGTTAAATCAATGTTTGTATCAAAACATTGGTAATGATATTAGCAGGGAGTGGTAAAAAGTGGTAAAAGATTAAAGTCAACTTTAATTACCTTTCTAGAGTTTAGAACTTGGTGTTGTCTTTTCAGCTTTTTCTGATAACCCATCTGCAATATGCTTATGAGTGAAACAGAAAGTCCCATCACTGAACCACCCAGGTGGACATTCAGTAATTAATGACTTCATTATAATAATACCATCTACAGGACTAACCTGTTTGATCTTGTTTTCTTTGTACACATAGTTACATACTTAATACGTTTTCTCACTGAAAATTCTGTGAGAGTTGAATATTATTATTAAAATTTCAATTAACATTTTAATTATAATGCCCATAATTTTTAAGGAAAAATAAAACTAATCAATCAGAGAAACAGCTTTGAAGAGATTTCATCTCATTCAAATTAATAAGATAATGTGCATATAATGTAAAATGGTGCATACTATGATAGCATTCCATAAACATACACCTTGTATAACAATTACTTCCTCACTATTTACATCATTGATTAGTTATTAGTGTTGCAACTGAATATCCCAGAGCATCTGACAGGGTCTCAGTTCCTGGTTGAGATTTTAAGAGATGTCTTGTTAAGGAAACTGAGATGTAATTAGTCTATAAACTGAAATATCTGCTAACTTTGTTAACAATTACTTTTGAAAATTAAAAGTGACTTGGGCTATTGGATTACTAGTTTTGATACTTCTTCATAAATAGTCTTATTATTCTGTTGTATTATTCTTGGCAGTTGTAATTCTCTTTATCATATATTAAATGGAGAGGAAAGAGAAATAATCCCAGCCATCAACCAAGTTGAGATATTTTGAACAGACAAGAGATAGGCTATTTGTTCTGTAGTAATTGTTAACTTGAATGTATAGAGCAGTTTGAAGGAAAACATATATTATATAGTAAATAATCTATTTGATTAGAAAGAAAATTTATGAAATAAGTTTTTAAACAGTAATACATAGACAAAAAATGTCATGGTCTTCTCATTAGATGCAAAAACCTATGTATTATTTCATGTGGCAAGATTGTGAATTATTTGGGCTGAAATTATATTCTAACACTTTTCTTCATATGGCTAATTTAAGATCTTAGTTTCTACATGTTAATAAATAGGTTTTCACTATTGAGTGATGTACTTATCTTTAGAAATCAAACAATAAACGTATAGTACATGGACGAGAAACCATGGGATTATTTAACACTTAAAACAACCCGGTTTGTTTTCATTTAACCCTTCAACTAGGGATGCTTGGACCTATCTCTCAGGTATTATTAAATTATCAGAAATTTATCTAGTTACACATAGCCCAAAGAAATTAATTATGCTTAGTAATATGTATATTTCAGAAGGAACACTTTTGAAATCAATTCCTAGAAAGCTGACACCTTTTAATAACTTTCCTAGTTGCTTCAGAGACCTAGATTAAATTGTCAATTTAAAAATTTGCTATATAAAAAAAGGCCACATAAGATTGTGGCCTATTTAAGCATTGGAGAATAAAATTGCACTCTCATGACTGTAAGACAGAAAAAAGATAAAACCTGTCCTACACTGTAGGCTGGAAGGAGCAAATCCTTAAAACCAGATGCAAGGGCAATGTGGACTAAGGGACTATTGCAAAAACCTCAGTTTTATTTCTTCTATAGCAAACTGAAATATTCATTTAGAGAGGTATCAGATTTTTAGATATTGTTGCTCTATTAAATCAATGTTTGTATCAAAAATTTTTTGTATGACCTTATATGGAAAGAGAAAGACTCGTTATAATCATTTTTTATTTGATTCAATCTTATTCTTCAAGAAGTAAAAAATCTGTGCCGTTACCACTAAACAAAGAATACCTATTATAATTGATTTCGGGCTAAATTTAACAATTGTTAGGAGGATGATAAATTAGATTCCTTTTTTAAAAAATTTCTTACTATAAAATGTACATATTCTGAGATGATTTCAATTAAATAATGATTTTAATTGTTTAGTAATAGTACTAAACCCTTTAGAAAAAAATGTATTTTCCAAACATAAAAGTAGATTTTGCTGTACAATGACAGTAAAATTTTCTACTTTTTTTTTGAGACAGAGTCTCACTATGTCACCCTCGGTAGAGTGCTGTGGCGCCATAACTCATAGCAACCTCACGCTCTTGGACTTAAGTGATTCTCTTGCCTTAGCCTCCCAAGTAGCTGGAACTAAAGGTGCCAGCCTCAACACCTGGTTTCTTTTTTGCTGCTGTCATCATTCTTCTTTAGCAGGCACTGGCCAGGTTCGAACCTACCAGTCCTTGTGTATGTGGACAGCACCCTAACCACTGACGTACCAGCACCTAGCCTGTTCTAGTTATTATTAAGAATTAAATAAGATGTAATTCTTTCCCTTGTCTCGAAGTGAACCAACCTAGTATAATTTGGTCAGTCACTACCTCGTTTCCTTTGTTTTCCTTCCTAATTCATTGAATCTCACTGATTACTTTCCAATTTCATCAATTTCTTTTTCTTTGTCATACTTTTTTCACTTCCTAGTAGCACCCTTAAATTGAGGACAAGGGTTCTTAAACCTTTCTTATTCTGTCTACATTCTTCCACCGGAAAATACCATCCACTGTCATAATTGAAACGAGCACATTTATACATATG